CTTCCTGAGAAACTTTATAGCTCTGATCTATCACTTCACCTTTAATCTTATTTTCCAATATAAGCCTTCTCTCAGCGCTTCCACTCTATCTATCTTAAAGTAGACTTGGGTCTGTCACTCATTCTGTCTCCAGTGCATGCCATTCAAGTATCAGGGACATGTTGCTCTCTGCAAGACAGCCTCTTGTGTCAGGTCTTCATGAATACATTACCTTTTCTGGGCAACAGTATCCAATGCTTGCTGCTGTCCCAGGTAAACTCGAAGACATTAATAGAGACAATGGAATCCAGGGCACACTCGTAGCACATGCTGTATACAGAGTTGGCACGATATTTGCTGCTTCCCTTAATGACAATGGCCAGTACAAACACATAATGTGTGCCAGGTGTGTATTTGCATCACATCAAAGCACACAGACATCCAGAAGCCCATGTAAAAGAGTGTACATGCTCTGAGGCACAGCTGCGATTGGATTTCCTTGTTCTCCTTCTCTGTGTAATGAAATGCAGATGCTTTTTGTGCACCTCATCTCTGGCTTGCAGACACTGGATTACATTGTAGGGAAAGGTGATACTGCTGCCAAGTATGCTAACAGAACCATGGAGCTTTGTATGCAGTTTGCACTATTTAAGCAAACATTAGATGATTACTAACGAAACATACAGCTATAACATGACTTATGTTCTTCTGTATTTTCAGTATATAACTCACAGATAGCAAGCTAATTTGTTCTGCCACTGCCAGGCAATGATACAAATTATATTTTAAGGGCTGCTGATGTATTCATGGCACAAATTTTACCCTTTTTTGTAATACATGAGCCTGCTTTGATTTTATTTTTTCAGGTGCACTACTGTGGAACATTTATATAGTGTACCTTAAAATGTAAAGAGTAAAACAAATAGCTGTTTTCAGATCATTCACTTCATTTCCATTCAACAATTATTCGAGTTCATTTTGACAAAGATGACAACAGCAGACTTGAAAACATATGAAATGTTAGAGCAACCACATATTCCATTTGCTGACTGATGTCATGAAATGATGCAGTGCTCTTCCTGATGATAATAGGGCCTGGAAACCTTTACAGCTAATAGTGCTGTCTGATTTTGCACTTCACCGATTTGCCCAAATGTAATTAAACTTTGCTCTGGGCCAGAGGGCTATGAGTGCAGTCACAGTAATTGGTCTATGGCTCTCACTGTTGGCTTCACTGCCTGTTAATTAGAACAAAGCAAGGCCAAGTATTATAACAACATACTGTATTATATATATGTAGTAGTAGCAGCAAACAGATAAAAAGTATGAGCACATCATGTTTAATTGGCAACAATGCATATTAACTCTTTTAAACAGTTCTAATTATTATTCTTAAATGGTTAATTTGGGGGATCAAGCAAAGCCCATGATGCCAGTTACAGAGAAAATATTACTGAAAGTATGATACCAAGTGCAAAGAGTACGCATGCACATTTTAAAGCAAAATGAATGACACAGCCACACCCGCATAGTTATTGTTTAACTATTCTCTGGTTTTATTTCACAGAAGACTGAATTATTGCTTATGAGTATTTATGAGTTTCAAAGCATTGTAGGTTTAATAACACAAATATTAAGCTTTAATCTTTGAATCCCCTAAAATCTCCCAGGTCTGTTTACGGTGGGAGAAAACACTGAGTGACAAAGAATGTGAATCATTAGTGAAAATCCTCTGATGGGAGATGCCAGAACAAGTATTTAAAGCCCACTTTCAAAGCCATGAAGCTTTGAAATCTGTTTTTAATTTCCGAGACATTTTATGATTGCCTCCAAGCACAGCACACCAACATCAATCAGCGTGTACAACAAATACCTGTCAGTAGCAGAAGGAGGGGAGGCAAACACAAGACAGGCTGCAATGGTGAGACTGAAGCTCGGGGCTAAAAAAATACAGTTAAATACTCTTCAAATCTTTTAATGAGACCAAATCATCTAAACTAATACCAGTTCATCTGTGCAAGTGCGTGTGTCTCTCAGGGAGACCAGAAGGAGAAGAAATAACTTCAAAAGGCATGAACAGAGGCAAAATATAGGGAGATGAATATAATTTTTAGGTCAACTCCAGTGAACCATTATAAGCTCTTATTTATTTGAAAAGGGATATTGCACAATAATCAACAATGTATGATTTTTGCACCTGAGATAGCTGATTTGTGCTACAGTTCAATCTGTACTCTCTTTGCTTTTTTTGCATTCTTTCTTAGATACTTTCTTTCTTACATTCAAGTTTAAACTTATCTGTTATTGCTATCTGGATATGCACTTGAGCCGTTACGGTAACACAAAATCAATCCTCTGATCCACTATTACATAGACTTAAGATACAAATAAACCTCCTTACAATAGCATACTAGATGTGCAAGTGACTTGCTAAAACAAATAATGAGCAGGTTATTAGTGTAGTTCTAATTGTGTTCTTTCATCGACTAATTTCTAACGTCAACAATTATGAGACGAGATGTATTTATGGCTTTTCTGGAAAACTTTGTCTCGCTCCTCCTCTCTTCTAATTTCAGACTAATGAGCGTGTTCATTGGACTGCTGGCTGTAATGATGCGTGATGACCCATTTAAGCTAAGGGGGGGCATAACCTGTAAAACATGCCTGATGCACTGATCACAAAGCAGGGGTCCGTGTTGAGTTCATGACTAATAGTAAATGACCCCTGAAAGCTTTAATTGCTTCTCCTCTGAGCACAGATGGACAGAGGTGTGGTGCGACCTTGTTTTAATGAGTGAATGAGGGCCAATGTCTGCCAAGGGTCAAGGAGAAAATATCAGTTCATTTTTCTTGTAATACTAAATGTGCTTTATGTAACTTTTACGGTGGAGGGTCTCCGTGGAGATGTTATTCATTTCCCTGGAAAGTTAGATGTACAACAAGACTTTTCTATCTTTCATTTATTGAATTACAAGTATTTTATTGTTCAGAAATTGCATGAAAAACACACTTTATTACTGAGTGAGGGCGCCTCTCCACAGATCTATTCTATAATGTGACATCACCTGCTTGTCTCCATGAAAATAGACGGGTTTAATGCCATACTGTAGAACCTTCAAGGGAAAGCACTAATATCCATCTTCCCATCACATGCAACATTTTAAGACTTTTTCTTATTCAGAAGATGATGATATTTTGTCTGTTTGTAAATTCTTAATCTCCATGGCAACTGTCCTAATTTGTGATCATTGTGAAACTGTTACCATTTGGGAGAACAACAATCACAGAGCTAACCATCACATCAAAATAAGATATCCCAAAGAACTTCAAAACCTTGGGTATGACTGCATGTTTATGAACTAAAAAAAATCTGAAAAAGTCTTATCTAGTCTAACTGTAACTTACCTTGTATAATGACAAAGGAAAGCATTACTCATATTTACTACTTTCAGACATTTCCACAAAACATCACGTCAAAAGCCCTATAATAAGTTACTTAGCTCCTCACACACACACCCCCACACACCCTCACACACCCTCACACACACACATGCACACACACACACACATGCACACACACACACACACACACACACACACACACCTGGCTATACAGAATTCAAAGGACAAAAGGACAAAATGAGGGTCTTGCAAAGAGACAGCTGGTGGGTGAGGCTAATGAGTGATGTTATTGTTGGGGAATACTCCTGTCATGGTGCAAGATCACAGTGCACAGCTCATCACAACATCGTGTCACGGTCCCATGTGCGTGCACCGCAGCTCTTTAGCTCACTGAGTGCATAACCTCATCAAAAGCTATTAAAAGTGGCTCTACACTGTTTCAAGTCCCTCTTCTTTTTTGTGTTGATCCTCTAATGATACAGTTCTTTCACAGACACAAAAACACATGTGCCCACAGCACAATGGCAGACAACACCACACAAAAGACTGATAACATTGACGACAGAATGAATGGAGCGGTGCTGACAGGCGCTGAGCATGTTTCCACCAGGACAACACATGAAAAATGATACAGCGTCAATGCCCACAACACCCCTGACAGTTGACAGGCGTTCAACAACACAAGGCAAGACAAAACATTCAAAAGACATGGATGGAGGAAAACAGCTGTGTTAAGCACTGCAGTAGATTGGGTTAACATCCAAGTTTAACTATGACAAAAACATACTGACATCATTTTTGTCAAATCATTTTGCTATTAAAAGTGAAAAAATATTTTTCTTATGTGTAAGTAGTTTAGTTTACATATGGGTACATAGCTACAGGAGATCAGTGTTATTTTTAACATCCAATATTCATTCACTATCCACATTCAGTGGTGGCAATTGTCTAACGAAAACCTGGCTACTTTAATAATGACCATTAAAAGAGAGATATAAGGGGGGCTGAGGTAAATGTTAATTTAACGGTTGTTAATATAAGTTAAATATAACATGGTTTAGGAGTTTATACGATTACTATCTTGAGTTTTTCTCTGTCCTGGTTGTTTGATAGGACTAATATATCATGCGGAAAGACCAACTCTGTCCAGCACTGTAAAGACCCTTCAATGATCTATAATGCTTATTACAGCTAGAGTTAAACTTGAGATTACACTTTTCCTTGTCAGCTCTTTTCACATATAAAATGCCATTGGAGATAATCCATTTGAAAACACGGCATCCACTTCTTTGCTTGGTGGCTCTTAACCACAGTTTTATGGGCCATATATCCACATTGAATCTAAATGTTCCAGGATTTTATGTGCCTTTGCTGCTGATAGAAGAGTTCAGCTCAGGAGGGAGTTTATGAGCTGAGCTGCAACATTTCACTGGACAAGAAAATACAAAAGGATTTAATAAAAGTCAAATAGGGTCAAAGGCTTTTGTGTCATCATGAAGGTGTATTTGTTGAAGCTTAAATGACAACTTACAGTTCATACCAAAAGGTTGATAGTAAGCAACACTAATCAGGATCACATAGCTGTTTTTTTGTGTTTTGTTTTTTATTTTATTTTAGTTTATTTTAATGTAACATTTAGTATATTTAATAAATATAGTGCCAGAAACTGTACATTTACAACAACAGCAACTATGGAGAATGTTAAATACACAATGGAGAAACTAAAAGAAATGAAAGTTGTTTGAATATATACAACAATATTATTTAAAGCAACCAAGTGTTTCATTGAAAATGATCTTGTGATTTTTCTAATATACACAAATGTACAAATGAAAGACAAAATTTACACAAAGCTAACCTTGAATCTCTAAGTGCTTAGATGTTTGTCCTTCTTTAGAGATACACAATAGTCTCCTCCTTGGGCTCCTCCCCACTGCTGTCTGCATCAGCAGAAAACAGGTCCAGAGGGTCACTGTGATGTGGAAGCATGAAGCAAGAGTCGGCTGTGGACGACCAAGCCTCTCGGATGGAGCCTTCTCTGTGATCTGTGTGGGTAAAAGGAAAACAACCACAAATTGTATTATGAAAATGTATGAGTTTCAAAAGGAAATTAGAACAGAAACCCAGAACAACATTGGGAGTTTTCTGTTTAATTTAATTTATACATATACAATCTATGCTTCTGTTGTATGGACAATATGGAGTCTTTGGAATCATGTAGTCTTTGGAATAATACAGCAAACTACATTATTTTAATATTATTCAGTGCTAAATAAAATAAATGCCTGAAATAAATAAACACCAACAAATACAAATAAGAACTACTTGTATGGGCTAAGAAATAAGATTCATGAGAATAAAAAAAATAATATTACATCTTATGTTAAACTGCACTTCATGGACATGGCAACAAAGTAGATTTGGTCCTTAGAGTGTTTTCCCTGCAGCATATTATCATTGGTATGCTATACAAACCATATAGCAACATGCAGCATTTTTCCTAGTCTGCAAGGAGCTTGTGTCCTTTATATGGACACAACAATTACCTGGTATTAGTCATCAGATAAAATTTCCTTTCAGAAGATTCTTTCCAACTGGTTCAGCAGTTAGATGACCAAGTACAAGAAGATCACATGAAAAATGAGTGCACATGCATTCATACATGAGAAGCCAATCTGCACACACTTGAGTAGGAATATGCCGAGGTCATTTTCGTTGTCTCTGAACTGCAACACAATGGTGCATTTGCATTTGAAAAGCATTCCTTTTAAGGTCAAAAAGAGAGATTGGCCTGCATACCAGGCTATTTCAAATTAATTTAACAGAATTACTTTGTACATTTTTTGTATCATTATGCATTTCTCTTCTGTATCACTTTACAGGTCAGGTAAGGAACACTGGCCTCAAGACACATGTACACCCCTGCCTGTTATTGGCTGACGTGAGTTGCACTGAGGGCAGAGTGCATTCAATAACAAAGAAAGGTTAATAAGATGATCATTGACACAGAGACTGCACTGTCTACTGTCATTAGTAAACACAAACTCTACATCAGCTGCAGTTAACACTAACCCTATTTTATGTGAGTGAGGGATGGAGAGATCAGTCATACGAAATACTGACTGAGAATGGGGAGATTAGATGGAGGTCTGACACATCTGGGGTTAAATACAGATTAATAAGAGTCGACATTTATCATTTACACCCCCTGCCTTCGCCTGTGTCTTATGTGATGACAAGTAATGCTATAATGAGTTTTATAAAGATTTTTGAAGATCGATGTTGCATCAGGCCATCGATGTCACGTGCTGCTGTCTGCCCTGCCACTCCACAGATAGAGAAACTATTGATTTCTTTACTGTGGCACGCGGCAGCTGAGGACCAGTACTGTGACAGTTTGGGGAATGTTTCTTTTGGAATTAGACACTGATTAACTATCACAGAATCACACTACAGGCCCTGGTTTGTTTGTTTTTCTCACAGGTAGCAGCATGAATTAATGTCTGGAGATGAAGTCCAGACAGTAATTATGACTAAAGGGGATTTGTGAAAGATAATGCAACTACAGAAATAACCTTTACATTAAAGACCAATTAGCACTAAGCTCTTGGATATTAAAGATAACAAAGATTACCTCACTTATCACGCAGCTCCAAGCATTCATTTCATTGCCAACAAGCGTTTAAACAGTTGTTCTTATTATGTGTCACAAATACTTATCTGTTGCAACTTAATCTTGAGACCAAGAAAACAATTATAAATATTTAATTCATGCTAAGTCTGATCAAACACAGATTCTAAAAAGATGGACTAGCATGGGCAGAGTTGTGTTTTAGTTTTGTCACTGTCTGTGTGAATGTTCATATATGTTAAAAAAAAAGAAGAAGAAAAAACAGGCTAAAGGTTTTGTGGCAGAAAAGTTTGCTAAAAGATCATCTAAAAACCTATAAAACACTCATGAAATATAAGTAAAAAATTGAAGTATTTCTTACCAGTGGGTGTGTGCCCATTTCCTTGGCTTCCCGTAGGGGAATAGAAGTATCCAGGGCCCATTACCCAGGCTGCGCTGTCTGACTCTGGGCTGGTTGTACTCAGACCACTGGAGGACCGTCTGCTGTTGGACCGAGCCAGCAGGGCATTCAGGCAGTTATGTGTAGAGGGGTCATTTTCTCTGTGGTGGACATGACGGTTGTTGATGCTGGTATTGGCCTCATTCACAAATACAGAGCCATTATCGTTAGGATCTGCAGACTGAGTCATTGCAGGGGTCTGTGGAAATAAACAAGACAGATAAATTGGAGTGAAATGCTACAGATAAAACAAAGTAAAATGTGTTGATGTGAAAATAATATCAACACTGTATATAATAGCCACAAACTGAGATTTATAGTTCATATTCAAACAAACATAGTGACATTGTTTGTGTGGTAGTGACTGATGTAGGTGCATCACTGCACCAGGACCTTCTTGTATCCTCTTTGTTCCACCTGTCCCATTACTCACCTCAGCGTGGCCTCTCTGTGCTTAGCTGAGGCAGCACAACTAATTAGCATGTACCTCTGTTTGTGTGAGTGTGCGCATGTCATTCGATCTGTCTCTGACCCTGTGAACTCACGCCTTTGGCAACAACATTAGATTACCTTACATTAGAGCACCAGGACCTTAAATGCCTCGGCTGGCTTCTGTTCAGCCATACTGCTCTTGTAATAGAAAGATAAGAGCATGTTGTCTGTATGATATTTGAATCATAATGACCATCAAAAATCCGATATCACTATTCGTGATACATTATGAATTTCAAAAGAGTATGTAGATATAATGTAAATGAGGGAATTAGTACAAAGCAGCAAAGTGTTTATTGCATAGCTGTGGGGCTAGTGGTGCACATTTCAAACAAAGCAGCAATGACTTAAATAATTGCGTTAAAACACAATTGATTGGTCCTGAGACACATGCCTCTGGTTTTAATTATTCTGCTGGAGCAATCATTTGCACTGGTTTCATTATCATCAATCAGTACAATGTCTATTGGGGGTGGAAGTGCTGAAGCTCTAAGACAAATGATGTTGCAACTGCTCTCATTATAGCAGGCTGTACATCATCGAACTGTGTCGTTTTGTGTGTGAGAGAAAGTGCTGACAGTTAGCTGTTTGTATAAAATAAAAACAAACATTTGCTTGCACACTAACAGATTAAACATGAGCATGTTGCTAATTGCTCTATTCTTTTTTTTTTCTTACCTGATGTGTGTCTAATGGTATGACCATGTGTTGTATCCCAGTATTTCTCTGCTGGCTGTGTCTCCAGACATGGACCCTCTTGTTCTGGGCCTCCAGACGTTCACGTTCCTTCTCCACACTCTTTTGGCCTTCTCTGAGCCTCTCTAAGCTCTGCTGGTACTCCTCCAATTGTGTATCCAACTCTTCTCTCTCACGCTTCAGTCTTTCTGCCTCTAGGTGGCATTGTTTCTCTCTTTCTTGTAGCCGCCTCTCTAGCTCCTCCTGCTGGTTCTCTCTTGTTTGGCATTCTCGTTCCCAACGCTCTTTTTCCTGCCGTAGATGATCCTGAAGTCTTTGAGCAGTGGCCACTTCTTCTTTTCGTTTCTCCAAGTTTCTCTGTTTCTCCTGTTCTTGCAGTGTGTTTCCCCGGAGACTTGTGAAGTGAGGGCGGGACTGTGGGCGAGGTGATGGGCGCTCAATTTCTGATGCTAATAGCTTCTGAACTTCGTACCAGCTGTCCTGAAGGGTCACTGCAGCCTGGTACAGCGATGACAAGCAAATACAGCATCTCAACAAGTCTTTAACATCAATAACTTTTTTCTGAATCTAAGATGATACAGACATATCATAGAGTACTAAAACAGAAGCACTATGCAAATGTCATACATACAGTGCACTTCATTTCCCTTTGATTTGCATTCATAATTCAAAACAATGTGTGAACTGTAAGACTGGTGTTAAGTTCCTGAATCTCTGGTTGGTATTGAAAACATTTCAGTAACAAAGGGTAATATTTCAATATGTAATAAGAAATAAATACATAAATAATGTACCTTGAGACTGTAGAGTAACTGTGTTAGACTTAGAACACTTTGAGAAACCTGTAAATAGAAAAAACACATTTATTTTTATTTATTAGCATTAACTGTCATGTGCTCACAGTCAGATGATTTTGTTTTGTGTCCTCTTCCCACCGTATTTCTTCTCCTTTACCTCCCCCTAGTGGACGTTTTAATCTTTGCAATACTGTGCAGTAAAGTTAGAGAATATTTCTGAGGCCAAATGCATTTGCCTCAAATTTAGTAGGAAACTGCAGTGCCCATTCAGCCCAGTGTACTGTGTAAAGTTCCCCCTTTAACCACACCAGGAGAAGTAATTTAACCTCTCTTTTTATTATTACTCAACTATTCATTTCCATAAGTTTGAAATATAATTTACACAATATGTATTGCATTATTCATACCAACCCTGCAACACTTAGAAGATGAGAATGGTTCAAACAAGGTTTAGAGTGAGGCGGCTAGTAGTTTGTAATACATTGAGCATCACTATCAGATGTTTTGCTTTGTATAAATGTTCATTAAATTAAACAGTACATTTAAATGTTCATGACAAAATAATGTACCTTTAAATATATGTCTTTTTTCTGCATTTCCATCATAGAATGAAAATCAGAATCTTCTTTGGACCAGCCCTCCTCATTTTCCTCAGGGTAAGTCACAGATGAGTAAGACTCCAAATGTGAAGAGGGACTGACAGAAAACATGGAATCAACATCGTACTCAAGGTTGCCCCCTGGCAACCGTGAAGATGTCTTTGCTGAGAGAATGGTTTTCAACGTCTCAGCTAAAGATAAAACAAGAAGTTAGAACTACAGACATATCATGTTATTTGTTCAGAGAGGTAAAATAAAATGTCAGTATGAATATTAAAAAGATGTCAATTTAACATCACTAGAGAAAGAGGCTTACCTTCCTGTAGAGCGGCACTCAACAGTAAAGCTGCATGTGGCACATCTTCCTGCTGTTTTCGAACCAACAATCTTGGCTCAGCAATAGAGCTGTCGCTCTTTCCAGTGACAGCAGAAAGCTCAGCATAGATCTGCAGCTTTTCCTCTAAACTTGTGCAAATCTGCTGATCATGGCTCATAAGACTTTCTAAAACAAGGACACCAAACATTTAGTCCATGGTATGATAACTATTTTGATGTATATTTTTTCTTATTTTTTAACCTTGTAATCTATGGATTTTTTGCAAACGAGCATCAGCCGCTCGTCTCTCCTCCTCCGATTCACTTGTGTAATCTTGCTCTTCTTCTGGACAGCTGTTCAAACAAATACAAATAAGATTAGGAATGAAAATCAGCTACCATTTTAACTATGCACAAGCCAACATGCTATTCCAACCTCTCCACTGCCTCTCGGATCAGTCTCATCCAGATGTTTCGTTCATCTTTAGAGCTTGTGTGGACCTCATACATCTCTGGCCCTGCTATGGAAGCACTGATCAAAAACATCCCTCTCTCCTCATTGGCCACTTCTCGCACTATTAGTTTCTGGAGTGCAATGACTGGGGGTTTCTGGTCCTGTTATAAAAAAAATATAAATACATGTTTAATAAGTGAAAGCTTGCTTGTGTGCTACAGGTTAATGGAATGTGCTTACCACGGCAGCAAAGACAAACTTCTGATCTTTTTCTTGTAAGAAGATTAATGTGTCCGTAAGAAGAAGGGCCAAAACATCTGTGAAAACATATACTGTAAACATAACATAACCTAAATAATAACATTAGATTTAATGTAAAAAAGAAAAAAAGCTCCATAAAACTGCAGTAAAATGTCACTAAAAGCAATGAGTATGGGTGTAGATATTGAGCTCTACATTTCTGAACACACCTAATCAACACTGCTTATGGAAAGTGAAACGTGAATAATTAAAAATAACAATAACAATTCTCTGAACTAAGATCTTCCTAATTATATATATTATTTATTCTTGCTTATTAAGTTGCTCTTACTACTGGATAAAGGCTAATAGAGCTACTGTATGGACACTCTCACATTATACCAAATTCAATTACTGCTTGCTAGCACTAATGGGGCTTAGCAGAAGCAAAGCATAGGGGTGTCATTTTTAAAGATTGTTTAGACAAATTTCCATTACCCATTTAAAGAATATGTGCAAAATTCTGTTTTTGGCCCATTTAGGTTTGCCTATTTAGGTGTAATTCAAGAGAATATATCAAGTATATAAAATATTAAAGATTCACATAGATTCACTGTGGGTTTACATGTCAATAGAGTATTCCAAGATTATTCATGTGATATTTCATTGTCTCACCTTTAAGTCGTCCTGTGGCAGACTTCCAGAGGAGCACCCCCTCATGTAAGAGTGTTTGTCCTGGCCTCATCATGTCCTGCTTGCGGAAAGTATGTCCATTCTTCAGTTTAGCAGAACTACGATTCTCCATCCGTGTCCACACCTCCTGTAACTTTCGCTGCCGTTCATATTTACAAACTCTTTGATCTACTGCTATTATCACATCTCGAATCAGAGCAAGTGCTTTTGTAAGATCCCTATGCTCCTCTGTGCCAGCTGAGAAAGAGTGGAAGTGATCAGAGCACTGGAACATAAATAGCAATTCGTCCAACAGATGGCAGCATAGAACCTACCTTGAGTGTATTGCAAAATCCTCTCCAGCAGAACTGGGTACTTAGTAATCCTTTGGGTTACTAGCAAGATGCACTCTGGAATTTCCCTTCTTCGTGCCAAGTAATTATTTCCTTGTTGCTTGAAAAAAAACAATCAAATCACGACCATTATAAAACAAAACAAACAAAACTGCTCACAGTGTTGTCCCCAGACTAACAAACTCCTGCATTTTACCTTGATAAAATTTAGAAATTTCTTGTTATTTAACTGCAGTTCTTTGAAGAAGCTGACTGCTTCCATATGATGACTGCAAAACTCCCCATATAAATGAGTCATTTTCTTTCCATTTTCATCTGAAAACTGCACAGAAAGCACGTGTATATTTTAGTATGAGATAATAACCCTTTGAACAGGTTGGTAGAGCAATCCCAAACCTGTTGAAGTAACACATCTCCAATCCGCTGAATAAGGTAGTTGTTCTGTCCCTGAGACTGTGAGTTCTGGCGTCGTTCCTTCAAAGCTGAGAAGAAGCCATGGTGGAAAAGCAGCAGCTGGTCCAGACAGGGGAAGAGGCGCTCCACTGCCTCTGCATCCAGCTGGACCTCCTCTTTCACACCTCTCCTGAACACCTCGGCCATCACATGCAGGGTCTGGAGGTGGTGGATCTCCGTCTGCATCAGCTCTGGTTTTTAAAGAGAACATAACCAATATTATAGTTGGTTTCAGATATTCAAATGTATGATAAACCTCATTCATCTTACCATAAATAATGTCCTGTCTTTTGACACATTTTTTGTCCTGTTTTCTACAAAATCTGTGGTCTACAGAAGAACTCCATGACTCAGCCTCATAATGTGCCGCATCCACCAAGATGTCTTTGAAAATATATGCATCTACACAATCTAATCAAGAAGGAAGGAGAGATGTAAATTTATATATTTATATTTATATTTACATGTATTTTAAAACATTTCACAGGCAAAAATGTGATAAAAGCTATATAAATGTAATATTACCTTCTCCTGATGAGAAGTCAGTGGTTGACACTGGAGTTATTATGGGGTCTTCTGTTGAGCTGGTCACTTTAGAATGATCAGATTCTGATTCTGAATTTTCACTCTCAAGTCTAAAAAGAGAAGAATTTTACAGTTTGTCACACTAGTATACAAGAAACAAACTTTAAACGACACATGTAATGCATTGTTTTCACCTTTCAGCACTTTTGAAAAGAGGGCATGGCAGTGTTCCAATGTCTTTTTTTTCGTCAGGGGGTATACATGTTGGAACAGGGATAAACTGAGGTGGACTCTCCCGGATTATAAAATCTACAAACAATAATAAAATCTGAGTAATATGCCAAAATCTAGGTACTACAACTAAAATCCAATGATTTTGTGAGTACAAATTTGAAACTCCAGCTGTATGGAGTGCAAAGTAACAATAATGTAAATAACAATAAAGTAATTTATGGGTCCACCGAAAGTAATTTTGAGTAAATTCTGTCAGTCTGTCTGTCAAGTACTGTCATTATATAATTGTCAAAATTTCCTGAACCTTTGTATGAACTTACTCTGTGGGAGAGATGCTGTCTTATTCTTTACCATGGGAACAGCATACTTATTCTGTAAAGTAATGAACGAGATGACAGTGGTATAAAGTATAGTATAGTATACTGCACATACAAAGATGGCAAAGTTGAAAGTAAATCACTTTGAAAGTGACTTACCTTTAAACATGGGGGGATAGAGTCTTTACAGTTTTTATGAACAATGGTAGTGCAAACTGAAACACAATGAACAATCCTTAGATTTTGATACATTGACTTTTAGCTTCACACAAAGTTTTACATGATAAATAAGCAGTGATTTTGCACAAGACACAATTGTTTACAAACTATAGTTTGGTGAAGGCTTAAGAATGAAATGTGAAAATGACCAAAGTCAAAACTTACCAGAGCAATGCAAAATAGCCTTTCCAGTGGCTGGTTTGTCACAAACCATACACATGGTAGGGCCCAAACACGGGCCAGAGGAAAACTGATGTCCATTCAATTGTCTGTCTTTAGCCTCTCTGTCTTTCTTTCCCTTTGAAAAAAATGCCATAAGTATTATGAAGATGACCACTCTTCACAGACAGGTGAAACTGTGTGCCAAAGCTAGGCTTTGTCATTCCACTACAAAGCAGAAGTGATCTTTGTCTAGTTTCTATTTGCAAAGTAAACACGCCTCAATTTCAGGGGATATACTGATTATGAGGATCCTCCGCCTTTTTGTACAAAAAAACTCAGACTTCCATGGAAGGCTGAGCTTCCCACTGGGGATTAATCATTAAAAGGGAATCTATGTTTGGACTGACATTCTGACCTTGAGATCTTTCCAAAAAACATTTCCTCATTTTGTCCCACCACATACATGGATAAAAGCACCAAATGCAATCTACTAATGCTTATTATTGAGAGTGTAGGAGGAAAGGGCTCTTTCTACACAACTTTTTACCTTGGATTTAATGCGTGTGGTAGACATCCTGTTCTTAAGAAAACTGAAAGTACGAATCACTTTATGTTTCTCTGACTCCACCTTCACTGGGGCGTTATACTTGTCCTGCTCCTCCTCTTCAATTCTGTGTAAAAATCACAGCAGTTTGTCAGTGCATTGTATGTTGTATACTCAAATCAACGTTAGAGTTTGTGTTAGTTTAAACAGCGCATCTCTAGAACCTTGAGTGTTAAATGTATGCACAAATTAACCCAAGTCACAAAAGGTGGTGAAAGCATTTTTTAGAACTTCACTGTTTTTGTTAGTGCCATATTTTGTGCAAACTGTTAGTAAAACATGTCACACTTAGTTGAACGAGCAGTTCAAGTTGAACAAGCAATTGATGGATGTTAAGACATTTCTGCGAAGGATTAGTGATAACGGCCAGTTTTAAACCATCACATACTCTTTGAGGAACTCGGACAGGGTGAGATGTTGGAGGGACTGAACCAGCTCAAGGCTGCACTCATCTTCAGCAGACTGAGCACGTTTGCAGAAACTAACCTCCCTGTAAAAACACTCTACAAGTAAATTACATGCAGTAGGCTTAGATGATTGTTTACTCCAGGTGAATGCAATAACGAATTGTGGGAAATAATACACACAGTGTGAAATGGGTTTCAAAAAGTACATCGAATGCCCTTTTTTGACTAATGTTTTGTATTTTAGTATCTCAATGTTTAAGGTATTTCTTAGTGTGCTTGCTACTCTCCACCAGGGGGAGCTGTTAAACTTCTATGGAAATAAAAAGATTAATTACTACATTTTTACATTGTGCAAAAACATTTTGCATTACACAGTACAAATGGCTGAAGAAGGTAAGGAGAAATTGTACTTCTCCTCAGACACAGTGGTTCAGTAGTAAAAAGTCTAAACAAAAGCCATGACTAAATAAAACCTGCTCTGCGCCTCACAAACAAAAGGGCTTCATAAAAACAGCATCAAACTACAAGGAGGTGCTTTGATAACCTAGCAACGTGGTAGCCATGGTGACACACATGTTACTCTCCAGCATTGTGATTCACACATTTTAATTTAATAATAACAGCGTACCTTTTCTCATGTGACTGTTCGGATATAGAGGTTTTTTGCTCTGTGAACAAAACAAAAAGTGGTTAAAATGCAAAGGTAGCCAAAACAGAATACTCATGCAGCAGCAGACATTGTGAGGTCAACAGGCCTATTGTCCAGAAGTAATTAGTGATTTCATAAAAGAAGAATAATTATGATAATATTGCAAGCAACACAATCACATTGCTATTATACACATAAAAGCAGCATGGTTGTGGTATGCTCAGCCAGACGCTTACATATTGATGCACTACTGATGCCCTTGATAAGTTATTAGTACTTACTATAAGGGTGTAGAAGAGACAAAGATTTAGACAAAGAGAGGGCCTGAAGAAGTGATCGGCCATAACTGACGCTGTCCGTGCGATCTACAAAGTTGGAGAATGGGAAATATCAAGTACATATAGAGTACCACTATGTACAGTCAATTTTGTTTCATATATATATATATATATATATATATATATATATATATATATATATATATATATATATATATATATATATACATACATACATACATACATACACACACACACGCACGCACGCACACACACATATATATACATAAAAAACAGAATTTGACTGTATTTAATGGTAGACTGGTACATGCAAAGTAAAACTGAGGGGAAAATCGGTGACTACTACACGCCAAACAGGTTGAGTTAGTTTATGTTAGCTCTAGGCTTAAACGTGAGCTGATGCATACTGACCAGGACTGATGTCTCGGGTGGACTGATCTTGACAGAAACCAATTTTGGAGGAAGAATATGAATAGGAGCGCAGTCTGACGTCCTGTTTTGGTTCCTACACAGTATCACAATATAAGTATATCACAATATAAAAGGATTAATAAGAAATAATAAAAAAAAAAAAAATGATGCTATAGAAAATAGGGTACTTTACTTTTGAGGTGTGTTCACATGAGGAGGCAGATAGACTGCGAGTGCAACTTAATGTAGAAAACGGACTAAAATCTTTTAATTTCACATCGTTTTCTTCAACGTCAGGTAGGAATGGGGACAATAGTGACATTGCATCAGTGCTGTCATCCTCACTGTTCAACTCCAGAGCCACTAGACTGGGACTAGAAAACAACATTGTAGCATGTTTTGGTTTTTTTCAGTTAAAACAAATCTTTGAACATTACATTATGCATACCTTAGATCCATATTATCCATATTCATCAGGGCTTGAGCTGTGTCCTCTACGTCCCATAACTGACTGTCTGTTCTAGTGCTGTTACTTGTCACTCCAGAAATGTGAACTTTGTGAACAGCAGTGTCACCCTAAGATGAAATAGATATAGATCAGTATAATTAATTAAGAAAACATATACAGACATATTTTGGTTATCTCTGGTGTAACTATGACTAACCTCAGATGTGCCCTCTAGGTCATTTTGGATGTTCATCAAACTGTACTTTCCATCAAATCGTAGAGATGTATTTACTGAAAAGACACATACATTTGCAAGTTTAATTACTACAATTAAATACAACTAAGATCATTTCTATTGAAGATTGTGAAGGACTAATCAGCATCTAATCTAAATAACATAATTGTGACAACACAAGGTAAATGCACATCACACATTGACTACAGCCTTCTGTTCTAGGTTGTTCTGTTCTGTGCCTTTCCTTGTATCAATTGATTTTTCATTTCTCATGCTAAGGTTAACTGAAGAAAAGTAACTGGTTGTCATTCTTATTCATTGACCTTTGACATACACCCCATTGAATTCACAGCTGATATAATCAATATATACGGGCTTGTCTGTTCATGGGTTTTAAGTTAGACAACTGTCCTCCGTGATCAAAGCAATTAAGCAATTCAAATTAAAATATTGCTTGCCTGGAATGTTCCACAGTACAGCATTAAACTGGTCCATCTTGCATTTTTCAATTACAGGTTCTTTTACAGCTCAAAAAACACCTTGCATTCTTACTGTGAATGTGGTCAGCTTCCTCCTGATATGACCAGTAACTTGACTTAGTGGCATAATCTGCTTCTCTTCATGGAGATGAACATGTTTAATACTGTGAAACATTTCAGACAAAGCAAAAACCTCTCCATGGAAACTAACAGGTGGTGGACCCATCACCAAAAAAGTTGCAAAGTACAACTTTATGCATAGATTATGAAAAGTGCTTTACCTGTGCTTGCATTAGCTGTAGACTACAATGGGGCACAGTAAAACAATAAAGAAAACCACTTTCTGAGCACTCTACACTGTAAACTTTTCAGCCAGACTTTGATGTCTGCTCCAGCCATGCCTGCAGTAATGTAAGGGAAATCCTGGGCATTGCACAGGCATTTCCTCTCCACTGCTCTCACACAGTGAAGATGTTAACATGGGGCCGTGCATGGCGCACACTCAAGACTTATTTATCAAGGCTCATTTAATATGATGCGTTTCTTCATGCCACTCTCTGGCTTCTGGACAAAATAAGAAATTCATTTCTTTTTTAATTAACAGTTCACAACACTATCATTTACATCAATGAAATGTTAAGAGGTTAAAAAATAACATTTTAAGTAGGGAAATGTAGGAGTGCAATTCATCACCACTTTAACTTTATAGGATCCTCTCAGCAGGCGAGATACTTGCCTTTAAGCGCTTCCTTCCTCACAAACACACACTAAAATACTAGTAACTATGGCAACACTTGAAACATTTAAGAAATCTCCAAGTTTTTACGAGCACTCACAAATGCCACTGTGCATTTTTAAAGTTACGGTATGAGGCCCAACAAAAAATTTCACCTTTTGACAAACTACGACATTGGGGCTTGTTAATGTTCAGCCCATTCAGTCCAGATACAGAGCTCCACTGTCCCACCACAGAAGGGGGGAGGGGCGGCGCTGGGACGACAAGAGGACAGAGAGAGGGCATCTCCACAAATCAGACATTGGAAAGTGGGACAGGCCTGACCCCATTCCAAAGTTTTAGTACCAGTGACGGGGCAGATTACAGCACAACACCACTTAGAGCCTGACTGGTGAAATATTAGTACTAGTAACACCTTTTATGAAAAATGCAAAAACAAATCAGGTTAAAAACTGTTTAGAGGAACATGGGTGTCTGCAATGTTGAACTCAGTTGAATAAGCCTTCCTTTGTAAATTTATATTACATACTAACTTGACAAAGAAGTGCAGATAACCTTATTGCATTGGTCAGACACTGATGCAAACGATATACTATTTGCTATTGCAATAATATAACACAGATTAAGTGATACCTGATAATGAGGATGGGCAAACTTCACAGCTGTCATCATCCAAAGAAAGAACAAGATGCTCTTCAAAACCCTAACAAAACAAGATCAAAGTTTTTGCTTTAAAGATACACATTGTAATTTTTGAGGTGGAGGGTCCACCACCTGGTAGTCTTCATGCACTTTTGCTTTGCCTGAAATGTTTTACAGTATCCATCTCCATGGAGACAAGAAAGTGACAGCAAGTTACAGGTCAGGTCTGTGGGGAGCTAACCAAGCTCAAATTAAGAATGTATATTTTTCATGGTATATGTGAGCAGTAAAAGCACTGTAATTGAATAAGTGCAAGATAGATCAGTAATGCCATACTGTGGAACATTCTAAGCAAGTATGTATAACATCTCAGTAGAGACAAGCAGTGGACAAGCGGTGGACCCTCCACTTGAAACGTTACATAGTGCACCTTTAACAAAACTAGTATAGAAGAAAATCTGTGTACTTACATTGTTTGTCTGGGTCTCTTCCATGCACAACTTCTTTTTCAAATCTGTAAATATTACAGTTGGGTCATTATTCAAAACAGTGTGCTTCACCAGCTTCAACTAAATGTCTTCACTTCCATTTGTTCTCTATACTGAAAACAGGCCAACAAAACTGGCCAGTGAGTTGTTATTCTTTTCCAAAGCAGCAGGCTCACAACAAGCGTGCATACTGCCCACTGTGAACCACCATTTCTCTGAGAGTAAACGGACAGAGGCTAGAGTTAAGGTCAATACTAAGACACACACTTCCTGTTCCCTCCAAACAAGTCGATATGAGCCTGCCATCACCATAGTTACCATAAACTCAGCTCCAGTTTAGGAGACGAATAATGTGTGTGAATGAAGCAGGTAGTTACTTGAGCTAAGGACAGAAAAGGGTTGTCTGACTAAAAGCTATGGTTGCTATGATCTTTATCTGTGTTTGGTTGCATGCCAGATAGTGTATGTCACAAGCTAAACATTCTTCCATTTAGTGTTACAGAGTACAAAGCGCAAGTACCAAGGCATAAAACCTTTTATGGATTGCACTGGACATGCTTCTGGCTTTTATGGTTTTTAAAACTGCAACAGCATTTGTAGGCTAAATCGGTTTGGTTGTTTACTTGAGGTAGTGTGAGCATAGAGATGTGGTTAAAGCCATCAATTATTGAATGAACCTAAGACACTGCAGAACTCCACATAAAAAGAAAGATTTCTGGAGCTGAGTACGAAAGCTTTTAAAGATAACAGGCTGATGCAGTGGTGTGCACCTTACACGTGAAGATATAAACAACAAAAGCACTGAAAAAGATGTTGTTTGGCATTCATTACAACATTTACCTCTTATCTGAGAGAAATAAATCTCACCTTTGTCATTCAAATACTGTTTTTGGTGAACCTCACTGTAGGATTTAAATGCAGTGACCTGAGAAAAGAAATAAATAAAATAATAATAAAACATTTCTAAAAGTAAAGAATGCTATCATGCTATGAGTGTCACTATTGCGACTGTTGTAGTAGACATGTTTTTGTACTTAAGTACCTGACTGTCGTTTGATTTACAATGAATTTTATGGCATTAATATGACCTTTTCTTCACTTCACTAATTAACTAATAAAATGTGTGAACATCTGTGTATATATAGCATATGACACAAATACACTGAAATGTTTACAGATGTCTCAATAACAATAATGCTTTTTAATTAAACGAGTGATGATGGTTTTATTAATAACTTGTACTTCTGAACAAACCAGTTTGAAAGTAGAAGGATCCTTTAGGCGTTCTCGGAGTGTCTGAATGATTGTCTGATGGGAGCTTTGGCCCAGTGAGTGTTGCACAGTGAGAAACAAAGAGTTTAATGCAAGACAGAACCTCAACATGCTTGAACTGTCAGACCACAGGCACCACACACCTGCAGCTGGGTCTGCAGAGCTAAAAGGGAGAGGAAAAGAGAGCTAATAAAAGGCCTGAGTAATACATAATAATCAATGTTTAGAATCTACAGAACATGTTGACTGTTCATTCTTAGATGCAGTAAAGATAGAGGAAGCTTGATGCATACTTTAATAACTAATATAAACAGAGAATGTAATTCAGTTAAAACCATATCCTTATGAAAGCATTGTTAAACTTACTGCTCTTCTCCTTTCTGAACAATCGGAGGAGTGTCCACATCCTGACTGGGTAGAATAAGTGGCCTTTGATTTTTATGTTGATAAGTAAGAAAATGAGAAAGATGAACCAAACCCAAGTGTACAGCAAGGTGCAGAATGGGTTTACTGTTCTGCGGATCAGAATCTGTAAAAAAAACAAAAAAAACAAAAACATATAAAAGCAATATAACTAAAAGTCAAATATAAATGTAGTACTGACACTACATTCAAGTTTAGGGCAACCATTTACTTCTCCCAATTAAGTACTTATTATTGTAGTAGGTTTAAAATATGTTTAAATATGATTTAGACAATACCAGGAAGCACAGGCAGGTCACAAGAACTACATCTACAGACAGGAAGAGGAATAAGAGTAATAGTGGCAGCATACCCTCAACCCAAATGATAGAGTAAGAGAGCAGAGGAAGAATCACATTTGGTGAGCACTAGCTGATTTCACAAGCAGAGTCTACAGACACTCTGATCTGAGGGAGGAGGAATAATGTCAGTAATTGCTTTGTCTTTGTCTCCATGGGCTTGGCTGGTTCAACACATCATGTGATGGGAAAAGAGCAGAGTGGAGACAGATCCTTTAATGAGTTTATAAACACAAACTGACAGGAAATCATAACCTAAAACACGGATGTGATGAATTTCTGAACATAGTTGTTCCAAATCCAATTCTGATTTAGATTCATTTGCAATATATTGTGCAGCCCTATGGCAGATCACAATGTCTTGGGCTTAGACAGCCTTACAAAGAGTACAGGCCCTGTCAGTCACTCACCGGTTTCATTATGTTGCCTAGTTTGAAAGTCTGAATTTGTCCACTCCAAAGGGTAAACAAGGTTTGACATAGCACATGTTATTTTCTCATCCAACAACCTCAGATCTTCTTTAATGTCAGGAAACTCTTCATTTCTCTGGGTCGATTTGCAAAAGATCTTCTGAATGTGAAGGTAACTGTGGGGTCCAAGCTGGTTACTGCTTGATTTTAAGTATTCTGCAATGTCTTGAGCCACATCCTTAATATACTGGAACGAGAATTCTATTCCACAAGGCTCAACATGGTCCTCGGATAATCTGTAGGGTGTAACCAACACACCTTCTGGAAGATCATGGCCTAAGAAAAAAATGACTATTCTTAAGTAAAGATCTTCAGTATCAAATCTGACAATCCTGGTTTACTGATAGAACCTACCTGGAACCACAAAGCTCAATGTGTGACCATCGTCTCCCAGTTTTGCTGCTGTCACATGAGTGAGCCGAGACCCTTGAACAACCACATAAAACTCTGAATCTTCAGAACAGGAGTGCAGTTGAACATGGTGCTCTCTCAGTCCCTAGAGTAAAAAAAAAGTACAATACAATAAATCCATAACATTACAGGGTTGAATAAACTTTTCAGGCAAACTAAAAAGCATTTTGCTTGTCACTCTGCAGTCAGTCAGGACAGTCAACATAAATTACCTAATTTTTTAAATATATCTTTTCAGTTCCCTTTGAATGTCTTAATTGAAACTAATTTCCCTTATAATGGTATGTCATACCATGGATAAAAGTTAGCTTAGTTTTTGACAGTGATCTCTGGCCTCTCCTGCCAGGCTGTGTCTTTGACACAGACTGATCCAGTAACAATAAAATATTCACAAGCTTGTGCTTGAGCTTCATGCCTTCCATATGGGCAGGTGTTAAGTCCCATATTAAGTCTTGTGTTACTCCTGCAAGTTCAAATGTAGCTTTTACTTTCTTCCCTTCTCTGAAATGTATGTAAGGAAACAAACAGTATTACAGTATGAGTCTAGAGGGAAAAAACACAACAAAAGTGCTGCTGATGGTCTCCAGGAAACCAGCAATCATCAGCCCTCCGGTCTCTTGCCATGATCTCCTGAGTACACCGCACAAGTGACGTCAGGGGGCCAGATTACTGTTAGAGCAACAACAACAAAAGAAGCTCGCCTAACACACACTTATCCTACATGAGCTACAGCTTGACAGCAAGATAGGCAAAGATCATTTTATTAGTATTTAGTAGTTGTTTAAGTCATCTTTACTGTACACTGCTTTACACACAAAAAGGCATCTGTGGCTCACATTCACACTTACATTCTTGTCACTTTCCCAAGACTTTACTAGAGACAAATTTAAAGTAAGGTAGCAGCAGCATGTTAAAACATTTTCTCATAGTCAGTAAGCGCATGCCTCTGACCTAATCTACTGTACAAATGAGACACTAATAACTAGTCTCACTGCCAGCTCAACAAGTAGTGGCCACAAGCATGTCTTTTTGAAGAACACACCTGGCAAATACTCCAATGTAGTTACATAATGAAAGAGAGGAAACAAGGAGAGTCTGCTGAAAGCCTGCTACATCTGACCTCACTATTGAATACAGTGTATAGGTCTAGACTTGCTCAAACATGTTTTTCTTTTATATTCTATTTGCCATTGATAAGAACACTAAGTGATATTTAAATAGTAAAAAGCAGAGCAAACAGCTATACTTTCACACAGATATAGGCTTTGGTACATACTGTGTAGCTTATCTGACTCCATTAGTGATGATAAGAACTCGTTTAGTTTATGAGTGCACTTTTTTTAGAACATGAACATGAGTATTGCAAAAAAGTATAGCAAAATCATATCAGCCTGTGGAGTATAATCAAAATGTATCAAAGTCTAAAATGTATTGTGTAGGTATCACTGGATCTGTCAATCTTAACATATCCCCAATGATTAAACATCAACTTTTAAAACTTGGTATGTCAATGTCAAAAATCCAATTTGTGATTATTGTGAGATGAAACATACAATTATAGTTACTCATAATCACTAACACCACACTAATTCACCAGCACCAAACAACATTCCTTTCTCCATTTTCATTCCAGCTTTCTAATAGATCACTCTTCTTCTCGTATGTGACAAGCTTTTTGAAATCTTTTTTTTTTTTTTTAAAGATAAATTCAAGTTATCACATAAAAAGACAGATTAAGAAGCACATATATTGATGTTTACTTTTCTGAAGTACTGATTGAAGTAAAATTACTTATTTTTGCTTCTAAAACTTTTGATTATATATTTCTTTTTTATAACATCTCATCAGTTTTTTTCTTAATTTTCATTTCTTGCATTTGTTCTAGGCTTTCCCTCAGATTTATTTATCCCAATTTAATTTAGTCTGAATTAACAAAGAAAACATTGTCAATATAAATTTTCCATGCATAAATAATAGAAACTTAAAATGATTGCCTTTTCACATTAAAAATGGTCAAATTTGCCTCCCTAAAGTCTGAACTCTAATCACTATTCACAATCTAGTCACCCTATTCACAAACATATTTTTTAAATTTAAGGTAGGCACATGAACCTTTTACACCCCTTTTCTAATTGTAAGATACATCTCTGCACAAACTTGGGGAAAAAACATAGGGTCACAAAAACCCACCTTCTCAATGCACCCATTTATCATGCGATTTCACCAAAACAGGGTCTGGTTTGAGAGTGACACACGCAGCATTTGTGTTGGTTTATCGTTTAAGTGTCTAACAATAACTGTATTCATAAGTTAGCGTGCCTACACAAAGAACAGCATTGAAATCTGGATCTCATTGAGTAGTGAGAGTGCCTCCTATTTGGGCAATGACCTCTGAGGGCGGAGACAAACACTTCCTCCTTATGGTGAGTAGAAGTGACCAGGCAATAGACTGGGAATAGTCTGGGTCTGTCTGCATGATGTAGTATCCACCTCTGTTATTGGTGGAAAAGTGTTTTGTTTTGTTTTTTTCTTACCCCTCCCTTTTTCCCCCAACAAAATCTGGTGGCACAGCAAAATAAGCAGACATTGTGCTTACTTGAAATCTGGCAACACTTGACAAGCCCACCCACGTTTGCACATATACATACTGTATATAAACTAGAATGAAAATGGGAAAATTATAGTTATTCAAGAAAAGGATTATTTAAAAAAATATCCTTATAATAAGATTATTTAAACTACCATTGGACACAAGTGTATTTGAATTCCAAACATTGTACAACAACAATGAGGCGGGAAACATGAACAGTTAGCCTTGATTTTTGTGCATACAAACCAACACTGTTGAGTGAAGCAGTTAATTCTAGGTAATGAAGCATGAGATGCATCAGTATGGGCAATTTGAGCTCTGAAAGAACAGAGTCTGATGAGAGGGTATGGGCTTTAAAAACATGGAGGAGAATTTCCGACATCATTAAAAGATCCAAAGCCTGATTAGCATAATGATTAGGACCTGTAGGACATGTGAGCTAGTAAAAGAAAGATCCTAAAATCTATATTTTGGTTGAGACATGACAGCAGTTATGGCATAGAGCCATAAAGCTTTTATGTTGTAACAGTTTGGTTACCTGAAATGACTTTAACAGCACCAAATATTTAGCAATACAATATAATAACTTACATAAAGAGGGACAAGGTGCACTTTTTCTCCCTCATCCATTGGAGTCCTGCAGAAAAGATTCATTTCAGAACAAAACATAAAATATAGAGATTTACTAAAAATGCCCTAACCAATTAATATGATACTAATATACGTCTTATTTGCTCTATAGGTCTAGACACATAGAACCAACAGAACTAGATCTGCACACACCTGGTCCACACTGGCATCATGTGATGTCACTTTCTTCCACTGTACTTGACTAAATGAATACTGTAGTAGATACTGCAGTCTTTTCTGTCTTTTAATTCAGTTAAATGTATATGGATTAAACTAATCCACAGCACATAGAAATGAGGAGTCTGGCAGATACAAAGCATTGCGTGTCTACAGTGTGGGGCATCCAAACACTTTATCCGTGAGACACAAATATCCATATCATATTTTTTATTCTAAGTTCAAGTTCAAAGGATATTTAACAAATAGGACAGGGGAAGCCACAGGCTTGGGTGTCTCTGTTTAATCCATTCACCTCTGTGGGGCATTGAAATATGTAAAGTGATACCGTTTGTGTTGTCATGTAGTCCAATGTTGTTATAGTAGGAGAGAACATCCCTCTAGGTCTACAAGATGTGAATATAGTGCTCTGTTCATAACTATGATCTCACACACACATCTGTAGCTCATAGCTTCTAGAATAAATCAGTATAGCCTCTGTGGACAAGCTGTCACTGTCTATAGGCATAGGCGCTATGATTCTTCTACCAAAGTGCAAAATGAAGTGTGCCATATACATGGGAATGGAGCGTGTGAAAAAAAAGTTACACCTAACCCACACCCAACCTACACCAAATATAAACACAGCAGTAGGCTAGGTCAGTATACACAGATTAATGTAATTAGAGTGACATTTCAACTTTTATAGACTTCACATTGTACAAGCAAGTACATGACTGAAATTCAAGTTTAGACACAATTTTGGTAAGCCTATACAGTCAGGGTGCATTTTATATACAGGCCTACAGCACAATACTTGGGTAACATAGCAATAAGAATTGAGTCTAGTAGATCATGCAGCCCGGGTGAGGTTTCTGACGCATTTTTTTTAGCTTTATTGAATAATAACCTAATTTTGTTCTACAGTAGATACTTTAACGATGCTAAAGGTCTTTTCAGAGTCTAAGAGTATTAGGCTGGTCTACACCGTAACATGAGTGAACAAGTTAACACAAATCAGTAAGCGTAACAGTTTACTTGCAACAGTTAAACTAGGCCTCCATTTCAGCATTTAATATATTTAAACAGAGTATTTAGTGGCTCTAAAGCAAACTGTGTTTTTCTTGCTTATTGTAAGTCATGTGTACGCGCGCTATTACCTGCTTTTGGCTCTTCTCCCTCGCGGTGTATGAAACTCACAGCTCAAACTTTTCACCTTGAATCCATTTGCAGTTATTCACACTTTAGTGCAGTCCACAGTGTCGCTCGTACACTGCTCAGTCCATGGAGAATGGGAGTTGCAGGTGTCGCAGGAGCCTCTCAACACACACACGCGCGGGCGCACACACACACTCACACGCACGCACACACACACAGACAGCCTTTAGTCCAACCCCTTTTCTAACCATTTCTGTGAACTCAGTAGACTACACGTTCTGCATGGCATCTATAGGTTTAATATATTACCCATACATTTTCATATTTATGTGTGGTGCAAGCAAGCGTTACTTTTCTGCACATTTTTCACTATAGGCAAATCTTTTCAACTTAGAGCTGGGTCACCCATTGCTCTAGATTAGAATCATTAACTGCAAAACAAAACAGATTTTTTATTGTTTTTTTTAAAATATCATATATGTATCATTTGTTATAACTCATTACTTTTGAATGTTTGATAATAGTCTTGTTAATGCACTGGATTGTATTACAATATTGCCCTCTGGTGGACAACAAATATTTAATTTAATTTTTATTGAGGAACATTCCAAGCAAAGCAAAAACAAGCGGGGCCCCTCTCTTTAACCAAAAAAGTGACATACTGCATTTTTACTGTTTTGCCTTGTAACTTGGCTCTGTGGAGATAAATAAGTTTAGAGCCATATGGAGGAACATTCCAGGAAAAGCAATAACATCATCGAGATGAGCCACCCTCCACCAAAAAAGTTAATGTGCAAATGAAAAGTCCTATATTCTGAAAAATGTACTCTTGTGAGCTTTAAGCCAAGTCACACATGTTTGAGTCACACTTTATTATTAGTCTGTCTACATCTCCAAAGCTCAAAATGCTGTTTCACCTTGTGATGTAATACAAAACACTGCTCCCAAGTATGTGATGAGGAAACGACATTAAAACATAGATCAGAAAACAGTGTAATGTGGGCCCTTTAAAACAAACTGGACAAACATTGTGTTTTCTTGAACATATACTACAATATTGCCATGGATTGTCAACTGAAACACAGAAATGTTGCACAATACACTGTTAAAGAGCTTTTTATTTTCCACAGGTTAAATCTCAAACAAGTAATTATGTACAAAATCTGGAATGTTGATAAATGCATATCATTTCACTCACGGTGGATGTGGTCAGACACACCTTTAGCCTACATTAAAACAGGTGCCTCTGCATTTTAATTTATTGCTGGTTTTACAATCGCAAGTCACCAACGCATTAATCTTTTTTTAAATTTTTCAATGTACAATTGGATTAGTAATATCCGATAACTCAGAAGACCACTAAATAAATTAAAATACAAACAAATAAGTTTTAAGACACACTGACATGAATGTTGAGAATGTGATTTTGATCTCCCTCTAGATTGTCAGCTTTTCCAATGTGTAAAACAACAACAAAAGCAAAACAAAACAAAGAAGTACACAACATAGAGAATATAATTTGAGAAACACACAGTTTAGTGATGGTGCAAAACATTTTGGGTGAACAATAACATCAGTGAAGTATTTTGAAACTACCTTTTCCAAATACTAAATAATTCATAGTTTATTTTCCACAGTGTCTTCTTCATTTCTATAATAAACATTGTTGCTACATGTCAAATTAATGGAATGAACAACTACTTTGTTTTCAGACAAAATGCTGGTATGGAAAGACTTGAATGAAGGACTTATTCAAAATAACACAATTGTTTCTCTATTATTTTAAATTATTTAGGGGTATTGTGGAAAACCTATCACTTCCATGGCTTCTGTAAACTCCGATAGCAATTCTGTATGTGTATAAATATTTGTAATTCATGCAACTGACACACATTATAAAAAAAAAAAAAAAATCACATCAAATGGACTTAATATCACCTTTAAAACAGACATTTTTGTTATCCCAACGGTTTAGACGCAGCAGTGAACCGCATAGGGAAAAGTGACCCAAACATTCACTTTAACACAATGCACATTACCATATCATTTAGCACTTTGTCAAACATTGTCAGTGCTATCTCATTGCAAAAGGATTAAAAAACACATTTAAAATCAGGTCTTAATAAAATGTTGTGTTTTCAAAATGTGATTGTATGAGTGAATGGTAGTAATAAAAAAGACTTTACATATTGCTTTTAAACCAGTGCTGGGAAATGTATATGAAATGTGAGTATTGCTTGATTTCTGGGGTTGATCAGTGCCCCTTTCTCAAACAGTTCAAGGTCTATGGCACTTACTCTTCTTCTCCCAATCTCCATTTCTCTGTACAGCACAACAACAAAACAAGAAAATAACTACAACAGTGCTTTAAAGTGGTGAGTAAAAGATACATACAAGGCAGAATGTGGTCATCTATCAAAGAAGTATGTTAGATGATTTAAAAACAAAACAAAAAAACAACAAAGACCTATAGCCTCAGTCCGAAAGATGAAGCCCTTATAAAACGAGGCTTGTTCTTTCTGCTGTAATCTCATACATAGGCAGGTTTTTTCATTTCCTAGCTTGCTTTGGTTAACTAGCATAACCGCCACATTTTATCTATATGATAATAAAACACGTCTGATGAAACTAAAACGAGGCCAAACAAACAAAAAACATCTCTCGGATTTCACAGATATTTGAATTCCATCCCATTGTACTTGTCTTTGTAATAGATCACATACAAGATACTCCTCTTGCACTTTTTGTATCAAGTTTCAGGTATTTTCTGATGAATCTGTCCGTGCAATGTAGCAGCCCAGGAAGGCGGTCCGGCAGATTTTGTGCGGGTAATGAGGATTCACCGAGGACCACAAGTGATCACAGAATAGATGATAAAGGTGGATGATTTCTTCTTGTTGCAATCTCCCAACACCACCTTGATCTACATTCATTTTCACATAAAATGCACATAACACTGTCCTTTGCAGAGTATTGTGTGGCCGACCAAACAATGTCATTGTTAAATTAAAAAGTAAAATAGTGGCTAAGTGAACTAAAAAGAGGGTACCCTGCCCTCTAGTGGTCAGATTTAATCATAGTTCATTTGAAAGTTAAAATCATGCAAAGATGGGATGAAAACTAGAGCAAAAGATATGTCTGTACAGAGACCACAGTAACAATTTGCATTTCATCTGTTCATATTTCACCTATTATTTGTTTAAAAAAAATATCAATATATATACCACAGTGATGGCCTTTAAGGTCTTATACTTGCAGTGTCCATCTCCGTTTCACTTTATCCACTACATCCAGTGGTTCTCCCATCAACTCTTGGCTCTTTAAAAGCTACTATAAATAGTTCAAAGTATCTCGAACCAGGCTGTTAAATGTATAAAAATATTGATGCCAACATCATCAGTCTCATCTCCATGTTAAATGTAAAGTCTATGCTTGCATCTCTCTGACAATAGTCAATTCCACAGTGCTTGGAAAAGTCTTCAGCAGGGAGACAGCATTTCCATGGTCAATGTTCACAAAGCTGTAGCCATTTGCCTACAAAAAACATGCACCATAGTTTAGCAAAAGCATTGCTAATTGTGGAATATGTTACATATGAACAAATCTTAAAAGGTACCTGGAGTATTTTATCCCCTGGCTGAAGAATCTTGGAAGCAGGTCCTTCTGGTTGAACCCTTGTTACAAAGATACCCTATAATAGTGTGAAGGAGAGGTAAAAAAAAAAAAAAAAAAAAAAAAAGAGAGAAAAACTTTAAGTGATAGTGAAGTGAAGTTAAATATTTACACATAGCATACACATTGTGGAGGAAATGGGTCTTGCTCAAGATGTGTATATAAAGGTCAGACAAAGTCAGGGAAATACAAGTCCACAAGGCCACTGGACAACAAATGTAAGAAAACACATCAGTTTTTCATGAAAATGTCATTCTATATGAGAACTCAATTGCAGGTTAAAAGTAAGAAATATAGTCTGCCTTGTAGGTGTGTCTGTGATCTAAATTCATTAGGCCTCATTCATGACACATTTTAATGTAAGAAAAAAATAATATCTTAAAAAAATATTCATCCACAACAATTGTAGAAATTAAAAAACAAAAACTAATGCCCAGGTATATCATAAACCCCTAACTGAAGCTGCACTGCAAAGCAGTAGCTTATTTCAATGTTAGTGACTTGTTTTGATAAATGAGGATCATTGATTTTAAGTGTCACAGTGAGTGAATGTTTACATGCATGTGAATTTACATTGTCATCTGGTCGAAAGGGGTTTCCTCGACCACCTACTCCTCCAGATATGCTGAACCCCAGCTCTGGATTCTTCTCCACTTTCACATGAAACTGAAGGACAGACAAAAATATATTTACATAGCAAATTTTTACTATAGTATAAGACACCAATAGGAAAAAAACAGCAACCTCTTGGTGCAAAGTCTCATGGGGAATACGTGGGTGTCCTTGTGGCTGGTGTGAAACCTTGAGCATTAAGAAATCAATGAGCTGCTCTCGTGAAGGGTGACGGGCCACAGACGCCTGGCTCATCTGAGGACGACCAGGGGGACCCACCTGACCATTTATCAAAGGCACCTACAAGAGAGACATCATGTATAACACTTATAAAATTATATTATAGTATTAAATCCCCTTTGAGAAAAATGAATTAAGCCTAGTCTCAGTTTCAGTTGTTGCATTTGCTTTACATACTTTTCTGTGAGGGTCCATGGTGAAGCTCTGCTGACCTTGGGGAACAAACACTTCATCCTGAAAGGGAACAGGTAAACATCACAGGTTAGAATAGTCTTCAGATCCTTGTAATTTGATAAACAAAAACAAAAACACACTTAAATAAACAGAAATAAAGTGAAATTAGTGAAATATGAACACAGTTACACCTTACATGCTACTTCTGCTTACCTTTAAGCCCCACACACACTTTGAGTGATTATGAATGACCTCTGAAGATGAAGTGAATGTAATGAAATAAAGAATAAATTAAGAAAGGTCTTTATGGAATAGTATGAAGTAGATTAGGGGAACTTGCATACCGCAAATTTGATGGAAGGTCTTGTACCATTTTAAGCTGTATAGTTTTAATTTTATAACATCCAAATCCTTTTGTTCGGAA